TGTATGTGTATATATATATATATATATATATATATATATATATATATATATATATATATATATATATATATATATATATATATATATATATATATATATATACACACACACATATACACACGTATATTCAGATAGCAAGAATACACAGAGTATAATTTGAATAGGCCACATTTCCATTAAGGAAAATAAGATGTGTACATTCTTGATCCTTGATTTCTTACAGTGCTTAACCCTTAAACTGTCCAAACATAGATCTACGTTCACGTGCGTAGCGCTCCGACCCTAATTTTCCCCATTTGAAAGCATGTAAAAAAAACGGAGATCTATGTTCGGAGCCTGCTGCACATCAACGTATATCTACATTTGGACAGTTTAAGGGATAAGAGCTGTATAATACTAATAATAACAATAATAATAAAAAAGATCAATTAGGGTTACTACTCTACATGGTGAATTTGCTGGCTTACAAAAGTTAATCAACATTTTAATTATAATACTCCCTCAGTTTTAGTCTTCATAAATAATATGGAAGTTAATCTACCTCTAGAGTGTAGTATTTGGGTCTCACGGTGAACACTGGAAACCTAGCTTCACTATGCATCAACTAGTATGCTTTTGTTGCTCATTATTTAGCTGTCAGTGATATTGTGGATCATATCCCTCCCTATCCTTTCTTTCAGAGGTTGTACAAGTATTTTTTTCTTTTTAATTAAGAGCTCCCCTTGAAAAAACCCAGAAGAGTACATTACAAGCATGAAATCACATCAAAGGTTCTTCAATAATTTGACAGTGGCAACAGTTCCACAGTCACTGATTATGTTTTAAAGTGTTAAGCATGTAGTCAAGAGAAATGCAATAAAGATTTAAGAATCTTATTCAACTTCACTGATGGTAGAGATATTACTGTATACCATTTTCTTAGAAAATACTAAACCTGTCTTTGTTAGAAAAAAAAGCGAGACATTGAAAGAGATGTAAAAAACATTGGATAATACATGCATGGATGACGTGAACCAGAAGGTAGTGAATCTGTACAGTCTCCTTCAAAATGCGATTAACATCAAGATTTTAAATTACCATTTTATAATAGTGCAGAATAGAACCCTCCTGTGGTATAAAGACATTTTACTGCAGTGAAGCCTTTATCACTAACTTCTCACCCACAAGTGTGGTTTATCTAGTATTGTACATCATGTACTTCATAAAGCACACTTGTGGGTGAAAAATTTTACCAATAATGATTTCACTCCACTAAAGTGTCAATTTACCACTCTTCAGCTTTTTGCCTTCATGCTGTATAACCCTCTTATACTAAAGATTATGTACTATTAAGAAAAAACAAAACCATTAGGTGTTAATTTCTAGAAAAAATTCAAGCACTCAGTAAACACGAAGTCTGTGGTAAAAATAAAACAAAAATACTTCCACATATTAAGTCAGAAGTGAATAAGTGTACAATACTATATGCCAAACTACTTGTTTTGTAACTTCAAATTCTGCATTACAAGTGACTAAACATTAATTTATTTCTCAACTTTGGTACACTAGAGCACTGTTACTGCAACCTCTCAAAGCAATAATGCTGCAAGATGGCAACATAAAATTAAATACGTTTTAGTCAAATGAGTTTGATATATTGTACAAAGCTTGCAAAATATGATGAGTAAAACACAAAAAAGTTTTAGTTTTATTAGTGTACTAAATACTAGTATATATTATTGGATAGCAATATAAGCAACATTAAAAAAATACAAATTCAACAACTTGTAGGATTTGCTATATTAATACAAATACTGTAGATACAAAATATACTTTATCTTCATATGATTTATTAATTGAACTGTACTTTTATCAGTTCATGCAAGGTTCAACACACACAGTAATCATACATGTGAAGAAATGAGGGCAGATATATCACTGCTTTAAATCAAAAGAAAATTTTAAACGCTAAATGCTTTAAAAAAAAAAAAAAAAGTCTCATCCGAAGCTTTACTACAAAACAATATTACACATGTAGATTATGTAATTAGAGAGGTTTTTAGTAATTACTGTATAATACTGTGCACACACTAAAAAACATAATACATATATATATTTGTATACAGTATATTATATATTTATAAATGTATGTGATGTGACTATTGTAAAGAAATGATGTAAGGGTTCTTAAGGAGAGTACACATGTAGTAGGAGGCCCAGCCTGCGGTCTGATGTCCTGACTGCCAGAGGGTACGTGACTGATTAGCTACGCCCTCGTTCAACCCAGCTTTATGGCAGGGGCAGCATCATAGCAAAGTCTAAACTATACTGACATAGCAGTACAGTGGACCCCCGCATAACGATTACCTCCGAATGCGACCAATTATATAAGTGTATTTATGTAAGTGCGTTTGTACGTGTATGTTTGGGGGTCTGAAATGGACTAATCTACTTCACAATATTCCTTACGGGAATAAATTCGGTCAGTACTGGCACCTGAACATACTTATGGAGTGAAAAAATATCGTTAACCGGGGGTCCACTGTATTTGAAAAGTCTGTGGCATCATTGCTAGCACATCTGAAATATGCTGACAGAAAATGATGATTAAAGAAATCAGAAGACTATGTGGCAGCATAACTGGAATGTATAATTTAGGGAGTAATGTGGGCTTGAAATGGTTTGGCCATTTAGAAAGGATGGAACAAAGACAGGCTGTAGAAACCGAGGTGGGTGGAAGAAAGTGTAGACGACATTCCTGGAAGGGTTAGAAGGAGAGTATGAATACACAAATAACCCACACATACTTATGCAACATGTGGGAATCTTTATTGAAGAAACGTTTTGCCACACAGTGGCTTTATCAGTCCAGTACAAAGCAGGAAGGTATAAGGAGAGGAGGAGTTTGAGGTAATCAGTCCCTCAGCTTGGAATCGATGTGGACTGAACACATTGATTCCTCTCCTTATACCTTCCTGCTTTGTATTGGACTGATGAAGCCACTGTGTGGCAAAACGTTTCTTCAATAAAGATTCCCATATGTTGCATAAGTGTCTCAATTCTTCAACTTGTCAGTTTTCAAAACTGACATAGGAGAAAGGAGCTTACAATGTCTGCAGGTCTATATATACTGCCTTTTTCTCTTCTTTCTGTTAGTGTGACTTCGTAAATGGCTCAAGTCGGACTGAAACGTTGTCGTAAGCTCCTCTTTCCTATGTGTGGGTTATTCATGTAGTGTTCCAGTCATGGTATTGTGCCTTTTTGTTGTTTAAGAGAATATGAAGTTGGTGTCAGTGTACACAGGCAGTCCCCTGTGCTGTTCAGCTTAACTTGATATGTAGTTGAAAACTTTTCAGACTTTTTTTTTTTTTTAAGCATCTAACAAACATTTGTGAGCATGTTAAAGCAGACTGGAGAGAAGCTTATTTTGAAATATGATATACTACTGGGTGTAAGCAAGGTAACATTTACTGAAGGATTCAATACACAAAAAAAACAGACTGGAGTTCTGAAAGTGAGAATAAATAAAATAACTACAGTAAATAATTACGTAGATAAATAAACACAAGTACCACCCGATTTATGACCTGCTCAACATACAACCACTCATACTTAAGACCGTATGTCTGGCAGCACATACAGTAGTAAAATATTTAGTAAAAAGTAACGTACGTTTGGCAGCATATACATTAGTAAAATATTTAATAAAAAGTAACATATGATACTATGTAGGTACTTTATATAGCAAAGGTTTGACATTATGCCCCACCCAGTATGTCGGCAATTTTCAAAGGTTCGACTCGAGTCCATTTTGACTTATGACCAATTGGTTGGAACCAAGCTCGGTCATAAGTTGGATGATACTTGTAAATCACAGAAAGCCAAACACAGACCCACACACACATACAAGATAAGGCACTTGGAGCCAGGATAAAGTGAATCTAGTAGTGACCAGCAAAGAGGTACCTGGGGCCAAGAGCTGTGACTCAACCCCTGCAACCACATATAGGTGAGCAAGTGTGTGTGTGTGTGTGTGTGTGTGTGTGTGTGTGTGTGTGTGTGTGTGTGTGTGCATGCATATATATATACATATATATATATATGCATACATGTTGTAGATATACATGCTACAAATTACACCACATACAAGTAAAAAATAATGATTAAAACTGGGAATTTCTACAATTATGATGATAGACAAACAGAGAAAATAATTAGTCAAGTCACAGTACAAGTCTACAAGAGATGCACAATACAGTTTTCACCCAAGTCCTTTGACAGGTTTCTTACTACCAGTCATGGAAGTATGTGCCAAATTTCAAAACCAAGTATAAGTACAAGCAGAATCAAGCCTATTAGATTCCTTTTACTAAAGTATCTTAATAAATACAGAAGTTACATTTTCTCTAGCAAATTTTACTTGTACACTATATATGAGTCAAGCAAGCAGTGAATAATGCAGTCTCTTAAAGGCTTTAGTTTTTAAATTAACTTTTGCAAGTTGTAATAAAGAATGACTAAGCACCCTATTTTTTGTATAGTGGAAGATATAGCCATTAGCCTAGCATCTCAAAATGTTTTTTTTTTTTATCTACATATATTGTGTACATTTGGGATACTGCAACAAAAGCTTTTATTTTTGCCAAAAACAAATTTATAAGCAATGAGCTCAGAAGCTGTTGTAACAACAGATTAGGCTTTCAACTACAGATGTACTACTTTCATTGTAGGCAATTTATATAATCACTATCAGAGTTTGGTTTAATTTTTTTTTTTTTTTTTTTTTTTTTGGGGGGGGGGGGGATAGTGATGTGGGTCAGAATAAATAAAAAAAAAAAAAAAGCCAGAAATCCAACAATAAAAGGACAACTATGCTTATTTATAGCCCCCCAATAGTAAAAATGTTTTTACAGTATACATATTTAAATAATAAATATATGTAGTATATAAAATCTTCCTACAATCCAAGTAGCCAATCATGTACTTGTTAACAACTATTTAACTAAATATTCAACACAAACCACATTCCAATCTTCTCCAAGTCTCAATGGTAGCAGCTGGTGGGCAATGATTGCAGATTTTCCTGCTACTTCAACTGTCCAATCCATACTGGGTCTGTTGGTAACCACATTGGCACTTTTGCTGCAATCCACACGAACACTAACTTTGCTGTGTGCCTTGTTCTGAATCACAATACTTGCTCGATGCTCCCCAATGTACTCATATTTTATAAGATCTATCATATTCTTTATCTTGATGGGCTGAGCATTTTCCATTATTGATCGTACAACAGCCTTGTCCAAAAGAAGTCCACCACTTTTAAGCCCTGACACCTGCAGAACTGGGTGGCATACTTGACTGTGGACACTTATTGTAAATGGAGCTGCCTGATCCTGCCTCCCCAGTCGATTGTATCCCATTGCTTCCAATGACACCCAAAGGTCTTCAGAGTCTCCTCCATTATCCTCAGCTTCAAGCTGGTGTAGTGCTAAAAAACCACTAAGGGTTAACTCACCATCTTCTACATCAAAGTTATTTTGCACCACAGTCCACTCATCATCCTGAACTTCCTCCCCAGAGGTCTTCCAATTGTATAGATTAAACTCCTGTCGGTTCAGACGACCATTACTGTCCAGATCCACTTGGTCAAACATTTCTTCCAAAACTAAACGAAATTCTGAAGTCAGCTGCACCATACCTTGGTTTTCTACAAGATCTATATATCCTTTTGGCTCCTGTGCCCTCTCACGAAGACGACATCCACTTGTGTAGGGAATGACAACATATCGGCCTTCTTTCAGAGTATCTCGCCAGAAATGGGAGCCATCACTATCTTTTTGGTCCGTGAAACCTATATAGTTCCGCATTCCCTCAGGTGATTCACGGAAAATATATGCTAGTGTGTCTACAGGTCCTCTGCCAGGTTCTTGCTTCATGTAACTCTTAGGCCGAACTTTGACAACAGTTGGGCCCATGCATGACACTTCCATAAAATATTGGTGAGCGAGTACACTCTGCTTGTCGAGATAAAAACATCCTTTCAGACTTGCTTCATTCCACCCATCCAAATTTAAAGAGGACTGAGATGACAAACTATGGGATAAGTTGCCTTCTACCTTTGAGCATTTCTCTCGTTTTTTTCTTGTAAATGTTTTGGAATTGATCCGCTGGAAGGCTGAACGTTCTTCAAGTTTTTGCAAACTCAGCTGCTTCATTTCATTAATGGTATGATGGATCACTTTACACAATTTACTGCAGTCAACAACTCCTTCTGTAACTATATTAGCTTCTTGAAGTATATAGTCAAGGTCAGCATCACTCAGATCTCTAGCATGATCACCAGAAGTCAATGTATTCTTAAATTCTTCTTCACTGACTTTTCCATCAGCATTCCCAAACACCTTCATGAACAGCATTTCCATATCATCGATTACAATTTCTGGTAGTTGTTCAGCTAAGCTGCAAAAGTTTTCATATGTTATGCTCTCCGTTTGGCCTTCTTGCCAGCACTTGGCCAAAAATGATGGTGTGGGGTTATGTCCAGCATATTGCAGGGCTCGCTTGATGTCTTCATAACTAGTGAGGTCCTCAGCCACACTGTGCTTCACACACAAGTATGCTGCGTGAAGCTCCTTCTGTCTACTTTCCTGCACCTCCATCACTGATATATTCTAAAGGTGTAGTGTGCACACACCTAGCAAAGGTTAAAAATTCAGTATTCGTATTTTCGACTGCTAAAGTTAGAATGATATTGAATATTTGTCAAATAGATTACTGAAGTTAAAATTTCTAAACTTTCCCACTGGTTTATTTGTTATATGTTTGAATATAACCCACATTTCCTTATTAAAATTAGTCACAAAACTGGATATTTTCCCACTAATATTTCTGCCAACACACGCACAGTCAGGAAGGCTCCACCTGACATGGTATTATAGTGTCCCAGAGTGTAAAACAAGGAGAGACGTCTTAAATCATCTTCTCAAGTGTTGACACAAGAACAGCTGATCAACCTGGCAAGTGTCACACAAAACATGTCCTCCCACCATCAGTGTCTCTAATTCCAGGCTATTTGTTGTCTCTCTCTCACTTAAAGAAGAATATCAGGTAGATGAACATACCGATGAGACACAGGACGACTATGATATTCCAGATAAGGTAGAAATCGAGGGAAATCGGTGGGCGTTGTGGCGATCGTCCAACTTCTCTCATTTTTTCACCTCAGCTGCCGCCTCCTCCGTTTACCTTTGACTCTGACTTAATACCATGATAATTGATTTTTAGCGTTTACCACTTAATATTTATTCATTTTACCTTGCATTAAGTTAAGTGACACAATGTGTAATATATTTTTATATATTTTTTTGATTATTAATGATTTAGATACAGTAAAATCAACCGAAATGTAGGTTGAGGTTTAGGATGCATGTTGCGGCTAGCACAAGAGCGTCATTATGGCGTCATTACCTGTCTGGCCGGTACGTCACCAGTCCTGGCTAACTCTGGACTACCACTCTGCAACCTCAATTTTCTATACTACTGGCACTATTACGTATATATACGTCTTTCCTGGACACCTTAATTGTTACTATATTACCCCAGAATTCTCTAATCTCACTGACAAACAACCCCAATGGAAATAAGTCACTGACTTATTTGGGTTATCCCAGGTTCTCTACATATATGTTGCTATGTATGATAATCTATGTAACTGTATTTGTGTATACCTGAATAAACTTACTAGTTTACTTACAAACATCCCTGGAGTCGGCCACAAGTATAATAACACTACGTCAGTATCCATTATAACTTATCCCTTAACATGTGACCGTCGGCTACATAATACAACTGATGACCTAGCCAGGGCACATAATCTCAATGGAGGAATATTATATTCACGGGGAGAACTAATCTCATACGAGCAACAAGTGAAGAGGTGGGGCCAGGAGCTGTGAATCGACCCCTGCAAGCACAACTGGGTGAGCACATAGTGCCTGGGAACGGGTGGTAATAAAACAGAATAATCTAAAAATATCGGTGCTCTGACCCCTCAAGGAAGGTTTCTTTATGCTGTTGAGGCTCTTGATCTAGGGAATTGGATCTGTGCTTTAGTTCCCTAAATTGAGTCTGAATACCTTCCTCCTCCCCCCTAAAGGCGCTGTATAATCCTACGGATTTAGCGCTCCCACATGATTATAATGGTGCTTTGAGACATTACGCATTATTTTCCTTCATAAAAAGTAGGTATGTTATCTATACTCTGGCACAAATTGTGAGTTATATTAAATTCAGGTCTTGGTTTGAGTTGATTAATGATTTAGTCCTTAAAATATTAAATACCAGGTTGGTTTATGTGGAAATGGTAAGATACTTAACGTAAAGAAACCTAAAGTAGCCTACAGTAGGTTACTTTAGTAACCTAAGAGGCAACTAAGTTCCTCCGTCTTCTAATAACATGTTTATGTTTCCACTATAATCTACCTTGTCCATAATTACTATCGTATTTGCATTGTCTGTTTCGTAATGTGAAGTTCAGGATCTTTCCTTAATTTATGGCACAACTTAACAAATCTTTGAGGACAATTGTGCTCTGCTCAGACCTCTATATCACAATTGTCCTCAAAGATTTGTTAAGTTATACCATGAATTAAGGAAAGATTCCTGGACTTCACCTTACGAAACAGACAAAGCAAATGTGATAGTAATTATGGACAAGGTAGATAATAGTGGAAAAATAAACATGTTATTAGAAGACGGAGGAACTTCGTACCGCTTAGGTATTATTATTATAATCAAAAGGGAAGCACTAAACCCATAGGATTATACAGTGCTTGGGGAAGGGACGGAAGGTATTCAGGCTTAATTCAGGGAACTGGAGCACAGATCCAGTTCCCTAGATCAAGAGCCCCTCACCAGCATCAAGGAACCTTCCTTGAGGGGTCCGCTTAGGTAGCTTTACCTTACTCCGCGAGCGGTAGATATGGAATTAGCTCGTCTTTGTTTGCATTCTGAAACATTTTTGTTTACGCTGCTTCTGTGTTACATGGCTAAATTAAATATTAGTTTTATGATTGGTTTGCTTTCTTTAGAACGTACAGTTGTATTAACTATAAAACTATATTTATGTTATAATTGTATCAAAACTGACCACCTGCTGCTATACTGAGGGTATGGAAAATTTTCTAGGAGTGATTACTTGTACGTACCTCAACATTACATGCATACGAGTAATCTCCTTGGGAGACAACAACGACATTGTTTACCGTAGTCACCCCGTGTAGACATGTGAGAAAACTTAACCACCCCTGGTCACGGCAAGTGGTTCCTTCGACCTCACATTCTTATCCATATCTATCCGAGACCAGTATGGATTGGATAGCACCTCAAGTTACGGTTTATAATTAATTGGGTCTGTATAGATTATATTAGTTTAACGAATAATGAAGGGGGTGGGGTAGGTTACACATGGATATATCCATCAAGGAAAAAACTTGTAATATAATTCACCACTTAAACTGTATTTTGGTGGTCATTGATGTAGCTGGAATGCACCATAACCTCAACCAATTACAACATACCTACTGGCAGTATCAGTCTGCATAAATGAAAGGGTTACTTAACTGTGGGTGATTGATATCCTTATTACATCCATTCGCCATCTGATTTCGATGTTCCTGCACACCGACACGGTTCTTATTCCAGCAGGACGAGGTATCCCGTCGGTTTGTCCCGGTTTAGAAGTCGTTGATTCATAACGCTTCACTTCAACGAACTTAAGCTAAAAGAATCATTAGGAGTCGGAAATCGAGGAAGAACTAAAAGCCATAAGAAATCGGAAAGAAACCAAAGAATTTCTTCTCTATGCCACAATCAAAATCGGAACAAGTCAGTCTTGGCCCCTACTTAAAAGATGGGTTCCTACTCAGATGGCAGCAAGGAAAATGAGTGAGCAACTAAGTCCAATTGACTCAGGTCTATAGCAAGCCGCTAACCATACTGAGAGTGAAGATCAAAATGAAATTTTTATGGAGAGAGCCACAAAATTTGATGAAACAAGGCCTATCTGATGTTATCTGACGCCAAATGACTTCGAACGGCGATAAATGACAGGGCCCTGCAACTTGCCCGGGCCAGATATGGAACTCTTTGTTCATCAAGACTGCAAGAAGCCCTATAACGAGCCTTTTCCATTCCTATGGAGAGGGAGCATGGACACGGGAGGGTCGTCCCACAGTTACTCAAAACAACAGACATTAGCCCCACTCCACAAAAGGGGGGCAGTTTAAAGCAACGCAAAGAACTACAGACCAATAGCACTAAATCCCATATCATAAATCTTTGATAAGGGTCAAGAAGCAAGATCACCACCCTTCTGAAACCCATCAGTTACAAACCCAGGCAAATGGGTTTTTAGAACAGGTCGCTCTGTCTGTCTCAACTATTGGATCATACGACAAGGTCCTAGATGCATTGAAGAAAAACAGAATGCGATGTAATATATACAGACTTTGCAAAAGCCTTCGACAAGTGTGGACCATGGCGTAATTGCGCACAAAATGCGTGCTAAAGGAAAAAACAGGGAAAAGACGGTCGATGGAATGGATCTATAATTTTCCTCATAACAGAACACAGAGAGTATTCTTCAACAGAGTAAAGTCAGGCAGCTACGGTGAAAAGCTCTTTTTCCACAAGGCAAGTACTGCTTCCCATCTTGATGCTCATATCATAACGACATAGGACTAGGTGTTCAGCCACAGCACCGTTGTCATCCTTTGCAGATGACACCCGATCTGCATGACAGTGATTTCCATTGCGGACATGCAAGGTACAGGCGGCACAACCAATCTCTTTCAGTGGGCTGCAGTAAAAACAATTTTTAAGTTCAAACGATGAGAAATTTAATTTATCAGATATGGTAAACATGAGGAAATTAAAATCTTCATCGGAGTACAAAACAATTTGGCCACAAATAGAGAGAAACACCCAAGTCAAAGACATGGGATGTGATTATGTCGGAGGATCTCCTTCAAGGACATAAAACATAGTATCAATCGCTATCTGCTAGAAAAATGACAGGATTGGTAATGAGAACTTCAAAACTATGGGTGGCCAAGCCATGATGACACTCTTCAGGAACTTGTTCTATCTAGGCTGTATATTGCTGCAGAATAACAGCACCTTTCAGGAGGGTGATATAGCCGACTAGAAAGTACAGAGAACTTTACACGGGCGCATAAACGGAGAGATAAAAACACCTCAATTTACTGGGAGCGATGAGGTTCTCACACCTGTATCCTGGAATGCGGAGGAGAGATACATGATTATAATTACACCTGGGAAATCCAAGAGGGATAGTACCGAAATTGCAAACGAACTCACCCCCCCCCACTCACAAGAAGCAAAAGACTGGCGAGAGCACCATCCCCATGAAATGCAGGGGTTGTCACTCGCACGATAAGAGACCTTACAATAGTGTCAGGGGCCCGAGACCTTCAATACTCCCCAGCACACATAAGGGGGATTACCAAACAGACCCCTGGCAGTCTTCAAGTGGCACTGGGATCAGCACCTAAAGTCAGTTCTCTGATCCAGCAGGGCTGTGGCTCGTACGTTCGGTTTGCGTGCAGCCAGCAGCAACCGGCCTTGTAGATCAGGGCTCGATCCACCAGGAGGCTGGTCACAGACGGCCGAGGGGGCGTAGACCCCCGGAACTCTCTCCAGGTAAATAGGTTCGGAATCACGCGTTCACTCGGAGCAGGGGCGATCCTATTGACATCCCGCATTCTCTTAACTCCAATTTTATTATAAATGATTACATTACCATTCACAAGACGATTAAAACGTCTCATAATTATTATACACATTAGAGTTCACTCCATTAGATCTGAGACCCGAGAGTGAGGATTAATCCACGGGTATTTCCCCTGGACACACACCATGGCCGCGCACCAGTCACACCCGGTCGAGCCATTATTCATATTTCACCAACTTTATACGGGGCTCCCGTAAATCACGTTCCCTCACCTTCACAGGAACAGTTACGGACACTTTCTAGTATAAGTTGGGCCATATTAATCCTTAGGCCGCGTGAACGCCATTTTCCTGGTTCCATGCAATTCCACCTCGCACTACATTCAAAACACTCCGCACTCCCTGAGGCCCCAGTTGACCTATACCCACGCAATCGCGCTTGAGCAAAGGAAACTCTTGGTTCTATCCTATTGTTT